TGCCTGCGGTCGCCCGTCACCGCCGGTCGTCGGGCGGCTTTTTAGAGGCAACTAACTGAGCAGCGGAACAAAGCCGAGCGAGGCAGCCGCAAAACCCCAGCCACGGAAAGCAGCCGCTTGCCCCCCGTCTTTGCCAGAAGGCAAGGCAGCACAACGCACCGCTGCAGGCAGGGACGCTACCTTTCCTTTACTCAAGATTATGCAAAATTCAGATCCTCTTCTAAGATGGAGCAAATCAAATGGATTTTGGAGGCCGTTTTACTAAAGGCGCTTTCAGCGATCTGGGTTAAGGCAGCGGCCTGCTAACTTTGAGTCAAACAAAGAGAAACGCCTGCTGATGTCTTTCTACTAAATACCTAACGAGGCAGAAATCTAAATGGATGTAAATAAATGCAAAAGTAACACATGTGAACAAATCATTATTTGTTTAAAATAAACAGAATAGTGGGTAATTAAACCTTATTTATAAGAAAACAAAGACACTGTACAATACAGGCAACATCTTAAATTAGGAGAAACAAAGAAATTGGAAAAAATGCAAAAGAGTCTGCAACACAGTATTTCCCCAATGGTCTCATTTCTGGAAAAAACTCTAATTATGCTGAAATATAACCATAATTATGATGAAAAATAAGAAAACATGAGTATACACATTCCCCTTCACAGGTTTAAATTCTTATTCATGAAAGAAATGTAACAATTTAATGTTTCAAGCTCGCTGTTAAACAGAAATGTTATAGCAATAGAATGACTCGAAGGAAGATATGTCATGAAAATAAGACTATTTAGCAGATATTTCTTCAGAGCAGTCGTAACACTAAGGAGATGCTAAGAAAAGAGGTGACTTCCGACTCACAGAGGGGTGCGTCAGCGTCCCCGCGCGGGCCCCAAAACGCTCTCTCCCGCGCTCCTTTCATTGCTCCTTTCCCCGGGGAAGCCCGGGGCGCTCTGGCGCGAGCGTGCCTCCCCCTTCCCTGCGCTCGTCTCTGCCTGCTCCCGACAGCAGCCCTGTTTGCGGGAGCGTGGCAGGCAACACGCGCGAGCAGAGCAGCCAATCATCGCGTCTGGCCGGTGGGGTGGATGCTCCCACTTTATTTTTCGCAGGCTGCCTCTGCCTCGAATGAATTTTTATGCGGAAGTGCTGATTACTAACCAGGCAGTGAGCATCGCGCTTACCAACTCAGCAAGCAAAACTGCACGCAAAGTTACATTCGCGATTCCCTCCTTATGCTACCTCGAGAAATTCCTGGTGTGGTCTCATACGGAGTTGTTTTTAAGCCCTATGGCTCTTTGGAATAAATTATTTCTAAGATGATAGTAAAATCAACATTTAAGTTTCGACGGCTGAGAAATTTCTCGCTGCAACGCTCTCGGGGCCTGTGCAGTTCTGCAGGCTCCGCCGACATGGTTAACAGCACGGTCACGCGCTGCAGAAATCCGCCTTTGCAGCTCCCGGTGCGCGGTGAAAAAAAGCCAAAGCCTTTCCTAGACAAAGGTTTTAACTGCAAATGAGGAAATCCTTTCCAGCTGGAGCCCGTTCCAAGAGACATGCGTCTCCCCGCGGGCCTCGCGTCCGAGCCAGCGCTTGGAGCGCGGAAGAGAGCCG